CAATATCTCTAATGAACCTAGATGCAAAAATCCTCAATAAAATTCTGGCCACTCGGATACAAAAACTTATCAAAAAAATTGTGCACCATGATCAAGTAGGAGTCATCCCTGGGATGCAAGGCTGGTTCAATATACGGAAATCAATAAATGTTATTCACCACATCAATAGACTTAAAAATAAGAATCATATGATCATCTCGATAGATGCGGAAAAAGCATTTCACAAAGTACAGCATCCCTTTATGTTCAAAACTCTAGAAAAACTAGGGATAACAGGAACATACCTCAATATTGTAAAAGCAATCTATGCTAAGCCTCAGGCTAGCATCATTCTGAATGGAGAAAAATTGAAGGCATTCCCCCTAAAATCTGGAACAAGACAGGGATGCCCTCTATCACCACTTCTGTTCAACATAGTTCTCGAAACACTGGCCAGAGCAATTAGACAGACGAAAGAAATTAAAGGCATCAAAATAGGAAAAGAAGAACTTAAATTATCACTATTTGCAGATGACATGATTCTATACCTAGCAGACCCAAAAGGGTCTACAAAGAAACTATTAGAGCTAATAAATGAATTCAGCAAAGTGGCAGGATATAAAATCAACATGCATAAATCAAAGGCATTCCTGTATATCAGCGACAAATCCTCTGAAATGGAAATGAGGACAACCACTCCATTCACAATATCTTCAAAAAAAATAAAATACTTGGGAATCAACCTAACAAAAGAGGTGAAAGACTTATACAATGAAAACTACAGAACCCTAAAGAGAGAAATAGAAGAAGATCTTAGAAGATGGAAAAATATACCCTGTTCATGGATAGGCAGAACTAACATCATCAAAATGGCGATATTACCAAAAGTTCTCTATAGGTTTAATGCAATGCCAATCAAAATCCCAACGGCATTTCTTGTAGAAATAGAGAAAGCAATCATGAAATTCATATGGAAAAACAAAAGACCCAGAATAGCAAAAACAATGCTAAGCAGGAAGTGTGAATCAGGTGGTACAGCGATACCAGACTTCAAACTATACTACAGAGCAATAGTAACAAAAACAGCATGGTACTGGTACCAATACAGGCAGGTGGACCAATTGTACAGAATAGAGGACACAGAAACCAATCCACAAAACTACAACTACCTTATGTTTGATAAAGGGGCTAAAAGCATGCAATGGAGGAAGGATAGCATCTTCAACAAATGGTGCTGGGAAAACTGGAAATCCATATGCAACAAAATGAAACTGAATCCCTTTCTCTCGCCATGCACAAAAGTGAATTCAAAATGGATCAAGGAGCTTGATATCAAATCAGAGACACGCCGTCTGATAGAAGAAAAAGTTGGCTACGATCTACATACTGTGGGTTCGGACTCCAAATTCCTCAATAGGACACCCATAGCACAAAAGTTAATAACTAGAATCAACAAATGGGACTTACTCAAACTAAAAAGTTTTTTCTCAGCAAAAGATACAATAAGAGAGGTAAATAGAGAGCCTACATCCTGGGAACAAATCTTTACTCCTCACACTTCAGATAGAGCCCTAATATCCAGAGTATACAAAGAACTTAAAAAATTAGACAATAAGAGAACAAACAACCCAATCAACAAATGGGCCAAGGACCTGAACAGACACTTCTCAGAGGAGGACATACAATCAATCAACAAGTACATGAAAAAATGCTCACCATCTCTAGCAGTCAGAGAAATGCAAATCAAAACCACCCTAAGATACCATCTCACTCCAGTTAGATTGGCAGCCATTATGAAGTCAAACAACAACAAGTGCTGGCGAGGATGTGGGGAAAAGGGTACACTTGTACATTGCTGGTGGGACTGCAAATTGGTGCAGCCAATTTGGAAAGCAGTATGGAGATTTCTTGGAAAGCTGGGAATGGAGCCACCATTTGACCCAGCTATTCCCCTTCTCGGTCTATTCCCTAAAGACCTAAAAAGAGCATGCTACAGGGACACTGCTACATCGATGTTCATAGCAGCACAATTCACAGTAGCTAGACTGTGGAACCAACCTAGATGCCCTTCAATGGATGAATGGATAAAAAAATGTGGCATTTATACACAATGGAGTATTACTCTGCATTAAAAAATGACAAAATCATAGAATTTACAGGGAAATGGATGGCATTAGAGCAGATTATGCTAAGTGAAGCTAGCCAATCCCTAAAAAACAAATGCCAAATGTCTTCTTTGATATAAGGAGAGTAACTAAGAACAGAGTAGGGTCGAAGAGCATGAGAAGAAGATTAACATTAAACAGGGATGAGAGGTGGGAGGGAAAGGGAGAGAGAAGGGAAAATGCATGGAAATGGAAGGAGACCCTCAGAGTTATACAAAAGTACATACAAGAGGAAGTGAGGGGAAGGGGAAAAATAATATAAGGGGGACAAACGAATGTCAGTAGAGGGAGCAGAGAGAGAAGAGGGGAGGGGAGGGGAGGGGGGATAGTAGAGGATAGGAAAGGCAGCAGAATACAACAGACACTAGTATGGCAATATGTAAATCAATGGATGTGTTACTGATGTGATTCTGCAATCTGTATATGGGGTAAAAATGGGAGCTCATAACCCACTTGAATCAAATTGTGAAATATGTTATATCAAGAACTATGTAATGTTTTGAACAGCCAACAATAAAAAATTTAAAAAAAAAATAAAATAAAGTTAACAAAAAAAAAAAAGAATTGAAAATGTGTGTTCAAACAAAAATTCTTAGAAGAACGTTTATAGCAGCACTGACCCCAGTAGCAAAATAGTAGAACCAACTCAGGAAATAATGACTGGATAAATAAACATAGGACACCTCTACAGTGGAATATTGCTTAGCCATAAGAAGTAACAAAGTTTTGGAACATGTTACAACATGGGTGAACTTGGAAACATTATACATAAGTGATGGAAATCAGACACAAATTCCACAAACTATTTGATTCCATATACTTAACATGCAGGTAGTCCTATTCACACAGATCAAAAGCAGATAAGTGGTTGCCAGTGACTGGGGATAGAGGAGCATGGAGAATGACTAGTTAACGGATATGGGGTTTCCTTTTTGGGCGATGATAATGTTCTGGAACAAACAGTGGTGATACTTGATACTTGATTGTGAAAGTAATAAATGTCACCAAATTATACAGTTTAAAATGGTTAAAATGGTAAATTTTATGTGTGTATTTTACCACAATGGAAAAAGTAAAAAAAAAAAAAAATTAAAAAGGCGAATAAAAATAAAACACAAACCCAGTGTCTGGACTCATCATTTCTCCATAAAAATTTTTAGACTAAATCCATAAATACCTTTACATCATCACCATATTGGATCCTTCAATCTATTAATATTGTATAGCTTTCTATGTCTTCTTTGTACTTTTCATTGCAGTTCTGTCCTTAAAAATTGCATATTTTGTTAGATTTATTTCTAAGTATCTTATATTTTGCAATAATATTTGTTAAATTATATATATATATATATATATATATATATATATATATAAGAGTAAAATACATAAATGTATGAATTGATGAACTAGCACAAAGTGAGGATACTAACAGAAGTACTAACCAAATCAAAAGATAGAACATTACCAGCACTCTACAGAATTTTCCCTTCTATTCCTTCTAAACTTCCACCCACTTCCCTAAACCACTTTTTTGACTTCTACTTTTGATATAGTTCAAATTTTCAACATTTCCGTTGGGGTTAGTGTTATCTCCCTTTTTCAAATTACAAATAGTACTACAATGATCACATTCAATAAGGTGATGGCGAAATCGAGGATCAAATTCCTAAGAAAGTTCTAATTGTGATTATAAGTAATGGGGTAGAAATTTCAGGGATCCAAGACACAGAGAAACCAGTTAAAAAGAGTTATTGTACAACTTCTTTATTCTCTACTGGGAGCAACATCATCCTGTATTCAAACATTACTGCATTGGCTCAGTTCACTGTGAGTACTCAGAACGTTTTAAATATCTGAGTTCTCTGGACTTGCCAAGTTTTATCAAGAGGATCATGGGTGAGTGACATCTTCAAAGGAGAGTATTTGGGCTCTTTTGATTAAGGTACAAATCATTGTCAAGTGTCCCTTTGAGAATAGTTCCACAGATAAGTTCCTCTTGCTAATTTGTTAAAGTGTTATTAAGAGCATGCTGGAAGGCTTTTTGAATAGAGATTTTTCATAAACTTTGCAATCCTTACATGTTCAATTTGTGGTAATAATGAAATAGATTTTTTTCTAAGAAAGGCCCATGCAGATCTTGATATGACTTACGTACAAGTGTTAGATAACAATTTGATATTTTTTTTCCCTCAAGAGATGAAAAATTACAATAGAATGTGTTAAAAGGAGGGTTATATTAAGGATTTATTGGAATGGGGGGTGAATTCCTGAAATTGGAAATGCTGACTTAAATAACATGCTTTTAAATTTTGATTAAATGTGTCAAAGTGTCCTCTAAATAGTTATTTAAGTTTATACTTGTATACATTTCTATTACTCTGACTACACACACACATACACAGACACACAATCTCCCTCCCTCTCTCATTCTACTTGTCAAAAATATAATTTGTACACTATGGTACCTTGGTTTTTCATTGCATTCTTAAATAATGAATGAGTTTTAGCATCACACACTCCTTTTGTTTTTATTAGTGTGTTATATATAATAGTGGGGTTCATTCTAGCATAATTATACATGCATTGAATATAATTTACTCCATTTCAGTACCTGGTACTTTCTCTTTCCCTCTCTTCCTTCCTCTCCCTATTCTCTTTCCTATACTCTACTGGTCTTTTATTTATTTATTTATCTATCTATTTATTTATTTATTTTTAATTGGTGCTTTCTAGGCATACACAAAGGTGAAATTCACTGTGGTATATTTATATATGTATACATCATAATTTCATCATTTTCATTCTGCAGTGCCTTATTTTTTCAGTCCTCCTCCTTCTTCCTTAATCCTCTTCCTCTACTCCATTGACCTACCTTCTATTTTCATGGCGTCTCCCATGATTTTCCCCTTGTTTTGCTCTAGCTTCCACATATGAGATAAAACATTTGACCCTTGAATTTCTGCATCTGACTTATTTCACTTAGCATGATGTTCTCTAGTTCTATCCATTTACTGGCAAATTCCATAATTTTATTCTTCTTTATGACTGAGTAAAACTCCATATGTAAATATATACCACAGGTTTTTTTAATCCATTTATCTGTTGACAGGCATCTGGGATGCTTCCATAATTTAAATGTTGTGAACTATATTGCTATAAGCATTGGTATGCATGTGTCACTATAGTATGAAGATTTTACTTCTTTTGGATAAATATCAGGAAGTGGAATGGCTGAATCAGATGGTGGTTTCATTCCTAGATTTTCAAAATATCTTCATACTGTTTTCCAAAGTGGTTGTACTAATTTGAAATCCCACCAACAATATATGAGTGCATCTTTTTCCCATATCCTTGTCAGCATTTATTATTATTTCTATGCTTGATGATTGCCATTTTAGCTTGGGTGAGATGAAATCACAATGTAGTTTTGATTTGCATTTCCTTGATTGCTAGGGATGTTGAACATTTTTTCATGTATTGTCCATTTGTGTTTCTTCTTTTGAGAAAAGACTATTTGCTACTTTTGCCCATTTATTGATTGGGTTATTTGTGTGGGCATCACATAATTCTCTTATTATGGAACACCTGACTAAAAGTTTCTTTAAAGCACCTCAAAGCAAAGTGAAGAAATCATCTCAACATAGGTAAATATGAAGGGAAGCTAGCCCAAATTCCTTTTAAAAACAAGTACTTTTCCTTTAGTACTACTAGAATTTTTTTTCTACACTTATATGCACTGTGACTTTCCAAAAGGGAATTAAAAAGAAAGGATTTAAAAGAAAATCAGTTCACACTCCCCTCCCTACACCTTTCTTACCACAGCATTTTATAATGATTTCATCACTGGTTCTTTGATGATGTGGAAAATATTACTTATGGGTACATATTACTATGCATAGAAATTATAAAGTGTTTTGTTGCTAAATATGTTAGTTATACAGTTGTGGTGTGTATTTGTCATTAAGAACTGTCTTAGCTGATAAATAAAGGGATTAGACAAAATAGAAAAAAATGTAGTAAACTGTGAAGAAGCTTGCCAAATACTCACCCTCTCCCTACATTAGCAGGCTGCTTCTCCCATCAAGCATGAAATCTATTTCCCTTCCCGTTGTGCCTTCTGATTTGTTGTTACATATAGAATGTGATGGAAACTATGTTGTGCAAGTTCTAGGCCCAGCACTTATGAGGTCTGACAACTTCTGCTTTTATTTGTTCATGAGGCAAAACCCAGGTTGACTACAATGTAGGAAAGTGGCCCAGCTACCTCACAGCCAACTTCGCTGCGATGCCCACTCTGTCAGTAGAGCCATCGTGGACTTCCAGCTCAAGTCAAGCTCCCAGAGGACAACAGTTACACAGAGGATCCTAATAGATGCCCTGCAAGAGGAAGAACCACCAAATGAGCCCAGCTAGCCTGAAAAATCAAGAAAAATTACATAGATAACTAAGGTAGGGGTATAATAGTACCTAAACACCAAGGTAGGGTATAATATAGGACCCAGAGACAGTACTGTATGAAATATAAACTAAAATTTAATTGTCAAGAAAAATAAGCTCAGTGAAGATGGATGGTGGAGGCCCCAGACCAATAAGAGAAGAGAAACTTCTTTCTCCTTCTCCTTCTCCTTCTCCTTCTTCTTCTTCTTCTTTTGCAGTGATAGGATCAAACACAGGACCTCACACATCATGCTGGGCAAACACTCTAACACTGAGCTATATATCCAGCCCCCTGTATATAATGGCTCTACCACTGGATCATAGATGATATGGAAAATATTACTTATGGGTACATATTACTAAGCTATATACCCTGAGTTAGGGTTTAATAGCTGGGATTAATATTCTCTACTTGTGCTTCCATTAGAACTTAGATGATAGAAATATTCATCTGTAATGATTTCAATAGTTACTTGGACTATAACTCTTCTGTGAAACTAAATTTTTAATTTTTGCATGTAAATTTAAATAACATGTGGCCTGTGCTAACAAGATTAGACAGTGTAGTTTACTATATCACATGTCAGACTTTACCCTGATGAAAGATAACAATTTCCAATCATTCACCCTTAAATTGTATCTTTGCCATGCTCATTCCCTTTGGAATCCTGAAAAGAATCTTACCACTTAGACCTACCTGAGTCAGAGAGCTGTTCAGAATTGTCATGTAATTTGTTGACATCTCTACTGCAGAACCAAGAGTCAGAAGCAATATTTCCCCCTTTTGTGTTTTCTGATAAGAGATGAGGGCAGAACATTAAAACTTTAAAATATATATATATGGTTCTTTTATTCTAAGGCTATAACATCTTGAGGTAAAAGCATCTATTATAAAAGGAATTTCTGATGACTTTAATTAGGGTAGTATTTGAAATTCAATCCCAAATTTTTATATATGTATGCTTGTTCCCCAAACTTCTTTCAATATAAAAATAGTTTCTCTATGTGACCTCTATTAACCTCTTGCAGCAGCAACAGGACACATTTTGAGAATGCTGTTTTAGAAAATTGCAGAAGAATTTTTATTAAATAGGGATAAATGTCATAATGAAATATTGAACACTTCAACCATGAATACTACATGATAACTTTCAAAAAATCAATTCCATTTCCTTAATTACAAAATTAATCATTTGAGATTATTAAACAAATATGAGGCAAGATTAAAGTGATGATTTTCATTTCCTTATAAGTTAATTTTTAAATATTTAACGAAAATAGAATAATACCCTTCTCAGAGAAAGCAAGATTATAGCTGAGATTTAATTTAATTATATGGTAACTAGGTTCCAAAATTTTCAAACACTGTTTTTAACATCCCTACCTCCTGAAGGCAATATTGACATTTACATGAATATAATTATCGTTTTTCTATGCCTACCTGGAAATGAGCCATGATTTTCCAAAGACACGAGAACAAATAACTATTTCAAGGACTTTTTATTTATTTCTTTATTTTTTGCTAGAGAAAGTCTTGCTTTCTTAGGAGAGTAGAATTTGTTCTGCTTCACTGTCTAATTTAATACCACTGAAATTGAAAATATGTTGTTTTAACTAACATCCCCAAAGGACTCTCCTACCTCTGGAGTTTGTTCCAATCAGATCATCAAATTAAGATAAACCAGCTAATTATTGCAACCACTTAACGATCTGGTTAAAAAGTAAGAAGTTGTTTCTTCTCCCAAAATCCTGTTCATGGAATTTTATTGTTGATAGCAGTCCTCAAAGATTCACCTCCGTGTACCTTAAACTAACTGCTGGTAGAGGGGTTGCCTTTATAAAATGCAGATTCCTGGGCTCCCACTCCAGATTAATCTCAGCAGGGGACAAGGGAAGTAGAAGGGTCAAGAATAGATATCCTGAAAGCCACTTGGAAGATGCTAATGACTCTTATGACACCAGGCTGGTCCATCCTACTCACTTTGCATATGTGGGAACTGAATTGTGAGCTGTTGCCATTTCTTTTCTTCTTCATGACACCATCAAGACTGTGGCCCTCTGAGCAAGCTTGTACATGGGGCTTATAAAAGGAATGTGTTCTGGGTCACATCAGGAGGTGGGTGGAGACAGTGAATGAGGGGAAACTAACTTCCCACCAAGGCACCACTCCTGTCTGCATACTGACTTTTTTTCATATTTTGTTTGAAAAGAGGGCTCTTCTGCTAATGTATGCCAAGGCAGAGAAATCATGCCTGGAAAAATGTGAACAGGATGTGAAAAATGTCCATGTCTGAGATGTTTATCTCAGTAACTTAGGAACCAGACTCCAGTGATACTATTAATGAAATGTGAAAACACTTAAAAGAACAGAGGAGTATTTGTTCTTAAGTCACGATTGTTTTTCAGGTGTCTGATGAGTTTTAAGGACATAATGTGAACTCAGATATTTGTACCCATGAAAATATGTGTGGTAGATAAGAATCTCTGAACACGGCACAAGTTTCAAATTTTTGTAAAAAAAAAATATTTGCAACTGACAATTACTATTATGTGTCCCATTACCCTAATATATAATATTAAGTCTACACTGCCCTGGCCCATCATTGTGCCTGATCTGGGAGATTTAGTCTGTTTACTGGTCACAGGGTGGGCTCTGGTCCTTGGTGCCTGTCTGTCCTTGCTTGCATCCTCTGAGATAACCTCCTTCCCACCTAGCCTGGGGTGGGGGGCATGAATACATACAGATCACTTGCATTCCTGACCACAGAGATTCTTAGGTCAGCTTTTTATCAATGCCCATGGCGTGGTCTTTCAGAAAGCATTCTGTTCCTCCCCGAGTCCTTCTGGGTTTCAGGGCCCATGTAAGAGTGCCTCTGGCTCCTCTGTTCAGTCTTCATCCCTTCTGCCATTTCTCTTCTATCCTCCATCATACTGTCAGGAGGGGACCTATGGTGCTAGGTAAGCTTCCTAGCTCCAAGCTGGAAGTGAGACTCAGCTCTTCGCCACTGCTGGAAACCCAAAGCTTTCTGGAAGACCAGTCTTAGCAGTGGGGATCAAGGCACAGGGTCCCTTTCAAGAAGACACATGTGTTAAGTGTTAGTCTGTGGTGTCTTTCTTAAAGAGATGGTAATCAAGGAGCACAAAAACCGTCTTGAACTCAGCACATTTTGTTCCAAAACTGTTACTCTATTATGAAACCTTCAGGATCCAGGCTCTTGCAATGTGAAATACCTTTTTCTTCAAGGTAATTATTTACAAAGGCCTATTTTAAGACTCCAGGGCAGAGAATTGAGAGCTTGTTCTTCATTTTTCTGTCATCCCATCAGAGAAGCTGCACCAGGGAGATTGGGAGAGCCACAGGACACAAAAGAGGACCAAAAAAAAAAACACATCAGTGAAGACATTGACATTTTCTATACATGCATATTTCTCAGATTCTGATTAATTCCTTGACCTCCCTTTAAAGTTCATTACTGACTTCATTCTTTCTTCCTTATTGTGGATCTTCTCTAACCAGGACCTCCTACATAATTTGGGGGCTTTCCAGTGAAAAATAAAAATTTGGAACAGCTTGTTAAAATAATAAAAAAAAACTATTATGATGATTTTCAAGACAGCTACAATGCAGCATCAAACCAAGCACAGGTCCCTTCTGAATACAGTGACCCTGGCCACAGATCCTATACCATGAAACCAACCCTGTTTTTAACCCTTACAGCATACCTTTTTTTTTGATTTTCATTGGAGTGTTGTGTATTATCAAAATAATTTTTAAGACAACCTGTTTCCAGCAATAGGAATTCATAATATAAATTATGGAATATGATAAATGGCTATAGTTTAATAATTATATGGGACTATTAAGTGACATGGAAAAAAATGTTATGATTCTGTACATTGGGAATGTTAGCATTTCTTCTCTGAACATACCCTGTTGTCAGGGAAACAGCCCTATCCACAAAGTTTAGCTACCAGGAAGGTGGGGAGACCTTGTTTTACTACATGGCTCCTCCCTCCACTGTGACTGATTGGCTAAGAGATGAGTAACAGGTCCAAGAGCAACCAATCAGTAGATTTGTAAGTTATCTATTATCTATATGGGCTGGACGGGAAAAATGAACAGGGTGAGTATGAAATATATACTAAAAACTCAAGATGCCAAGAGATAACAAGGTCAAAATCTCAGCTAAAAAGGCACAAATATGGGTTGAATCTTGATAAACCATGTGAGAAGCAGTAAACCAAAAGTGTGGGGGAGCAAAAATTAAGACTCAGTAGACTAAGCCATTTGGAGGCAACACAAAAAGATGATCCCTGAAGTGTATCACCCAAGACTCCCTGTTACTTTTCAATGGAGAAAAAGGCAGGCCAAGTATACTTATCATTACCAAGGACAATAAATTAAATAAGTACCTAAATTAAGAAATTTAGCCTCCTAAACACTTCTCTTTCTCCTTCTCCTTCTCCTTCTCCTTCTCCTTCTCCTTCTTTTTTGCCATACTGGGATGGGGATTGAGCCCAGGTGCACTCTAACACTGAGTTATATCCACATTCCTTTTTATTTGAGACAGGATCTCACTAAGTTGCCAAGGTTGACTTCAAATCCTTTTGTCTCAGCCTCCTGAATCTCTGGGATCAGGACAACCTGCTAGGCCACCATGCCTACCAGGTCTTCTTAAACACTTTCAAATTCTTTTCCACATAATAGTATGTTTTTTAAAAAAGAATGAGCTCTGTCCAAAAGTGCATTCTCTGTTTCTCCAGACAGCAAACATTCTAGTTTTAGCTTATTTGTTTCTGATGTAACTGGGATGCTATATATATAGTTCTAGTTGCATAATAAAAACTACATGCCAGGAACAGTTAGTCATTCCAAAAGCACCCCTCCAAATGAGCATGCTCGCTTCTGTTATCTAAATAATGCTGCAGTGGTTTAGTACATCCTTACTAAGATGTACTTACTACAAAAGTATACTTTTGATATACTTAACTCCAACATAAAATTTCCAAGAAATTGTGGAATCTTTTACAATCTTTTTTTCCTATGACAGTAGAGAGAAATGCACTTGCTCCTGCCAATATTCCTTGACATGTGCAATAATAACACATGCACTGAATAATAACTATGGCAGTCTGAAAACATGGCTGCAAATTCTTTTGTACTTGCCCCACTGAGAGGTGTTGCGGGGTGGGGGGCGTCTTTTGAATTTGAAAAGCTTGTGACAGCTTAGACAAATTGAGCATGGCAGAAGGGATGTGACATGCTTTCCAAAGCCAGGTCATAAATGGCCAAACAGCTTCTGCCTTATTTGTTGGAACATTCTTGGATCCATTAGCTACTGTATAAGATCTGACTCCCATGAGTTTGTCATGCTGGAAAAGCCTGAGGGAGGCACTCCTATTACAAATCCCAGCAGAGTCCAGTCTCTCCCAGCCAGGAGACAGACTTGTAAGTGAAGCTGACTTAGACCATCTAGACCAGCCCATTTTCCAGCTATATTCCATCAAGCAAACAGAAAAATCTTCCATGGAAACTTACTGACCCACAAAATCATGAGATGTTAAATTTCAAATCAACAAGTTTCAGAAATTTAATTTTATAGTAGTAGATAACCACAGGCAACTGCATCATTAGTTCGGTAGACACTGATTGACTGATTGCAGGATGCCACTCTGAAGCAAGCTAGTCTACTTGACAGACAAGAAACTGAACCAGAGTCACACAGTAATGCAGGGACAGAGCCTGCTTCCAGAGGTCACTGAGAACTGTGTTCTTTCTTCACAACATCTTTTCATGTTGATCAGGAAATTTTTGAAATCGAATCAGAAAAATAAATGAGTCCATTTGCTGCCCCCCCGCAAAAATAGGTGACTCAAAGCTCATCCTGGGAAAGGAAGCAGTGTGGGTAGAATAGGTAAGTGGGAGCCAAGGGTGGGGGTGTTGGGGGTTGGCTTAAACTAAAAGTGTTCTACTTTCAGTAGTCATATAAAGAATGTTGGTATTCCACTTAAGATATCTTTTGAAAAAAAAAATTCCACTACTAAAAACAAAAACTAACAAACAAAAAAGCTCTCAAAATAGTGATCTAGTCCAAGTTCCTCATTGTGCAATTAAAAAGCCATGACCTGATAAACAAAGCATTTTGCTCAATGTTATAATCTACTTATTAGCCAACCAGGTTCCATGATTCCTTTTGCAGGATTTTGCCATGTTTTTGTACAAATAGTCTATGTTATTCATATTAGTATTACCGGAGAGTGAGCTGGATAAATTTATCCAACCAATATTTACTAAGTAACTCTCAGGTACCAGTCTCCACACCAGGTTCTGGTGATGTGGTGTTGAACATGGTGGGTCTCATCAGGGTTATACCTGAACAGGAAGTAATTGCCAATCAATAATTCATGAGTTTTCTTTTTGTTAGTGATTTTAGCTTCTCCCTGTCTTACTCTTAACAAGAATTATCAATAAAGAAAATGTCAAAAGTCATTTCACTTAGTCTCTTGCTGAAAACAGAAGTCAAGTTATAACTAGGGGAAAGAAAAGAAGAAGGAAACTAGAATAATCCAGAACATGAATAATTAGGTCCGCATTAAGCAGAGTAGGGTCATGCATATAAAAGAGAAAGGCAATATAGACTTTTAAAATTTCTATGAAATCGCCAAAGTGCATTTTAAAGTTATGTTGTTTATTCAATTTTGTCTGAGAATATTGCTAGAAATTTTTGCAAAAGTACTATACTTTTCAGGTAGCATTTTATATAACACTCCATAAAAAGATCAAACTAAACACAAGCAGGAATGAGAGATATATTTCAAAAAAGAAATAGGCCACTTGAGAGGATATGTGGACGTGGGTGATCTCTGAGCATCTGTAGCTATAGAAATAACAAGTAAAAATATTTCATCAGTTCAATCATAAAAATTCAATCCTTCAGGCAAATCAATTCTAGAATTTGTGAGCCAAATAACTCTTAATGACTGAGTTAACACATTGGAGTATTTTATTTTTAAAGGTGCAAAAGGGGATATTTTAAACTTTCTATTTTCATTTTAATTTAAATAGATAAAGGTTCTTCTTCAACTCTTAAGAAATTCCAGCTGTAGAAGCAATTCTTTCAAGTCATTCTCTTCTTTAAAAACTATAGTTTGGGTAAAATCATCTTCAATTCCTCCACAAACTCTTTGCTTTTTATGATCCGCAATTTAAACCAAAAATTGTTTTTCTTTTTTAGTAGAGGAAACTCATTCATCTAGCATTGTCATCAGAGAACGATGTGTAACAGCAGACTAAAACTCCAGAGTG